CCGGTCCGGGAGGATCCCACATGCCGCGGAGCGGCTGGGCCCGTGAGCCATGGCCGCTGAACCTGCGCGTCCGGAGCCTGTGCTCTGCAACGGGAGAGGCCGCAGCAGCGAGAGGCCTGCGTACCGGAAAAAAAAAAAAAAAAAAAAAAGGCTGGAATTAAAGCATCGTCTCTCCGGGGTCTTCTGCTTGCTGACTCACCCTGCAGGTCTTGGGACTTGCTGGCTTTTATACCTATGTGAGCCAATACCTTCAATTCTTTATAATACATCAGTCTCTCTCTCCAGAGAGCCTACTGGACACAGCATAAATATACATCTTGCTGGCTGGTTCTCTTTCTCTGGAGAATGCTAGTACAGATTTTGGCACCAAGAATGATTCCAGGTGAACAGAATTTTAAAGATGAGTTTTCTGATTTGGTCTGTGGTTTCTGGAACGGGCTCTCTAATATGATTAGATTTAAAGGTGCTAAGGACTCTCTATCCAGTAGTAAAAGCAGACTGAGAATCCCTGGGAATAGAGATACCCAAAATAATGGAGACGCCTAAGCAAGAATCCAGGCAACCATGTATGTTATACCTTTGAACATTTTGGTCAAAATAACAAGTATGATGAGATTGGCTGGTTGTTTCTAATGTTACTGGACAAAGTGGGGAAAGAAAAGTTTGAGCTCAGGGATTCGAATTCCTAGCTCAAGGTCCCCGTAAATGACCTGAAAGCTTCTATGTCTGCCCTGAAGGAGACCCTTACCCGCTCTAGCCACAGGGCTGAGAGTGCTGAAAATCAGACCCGCAATCTCCCCCTGTGACTGACTGAATTACAATGCGAGTTGAACTCCCAGCCTCCCAGGGTGTCTCCTGCTAAACCCAGGCCACGGACTGGGAAGGAATGGGATCCTGCAAGTTGGAATGGGGGTGTGTGGGAAGACCCTGATGGAGCTGGGGAACTAGAACCCTGAATTCTGATGCATCTCCTCTGCCAGTGGCAGCGGTCTCTCTGTTCCCCAGGAGAAGTGGCCTCTCCACCCCCGCCCGTCCCAGGGTATTAACCCTGCGTTACCTGCGGAAAGGGTAATGACCGCCCCTGAGGCAGCTGACAAGCAAGACATTGCTGGTTCTCCCCAGTGTCGACCCCACCACCGCTCTTGGCTTCTAGACCTCTGAGCAGACTCAAGTCCCAGCAGCCCCTAAAGTGAGGTACAAAGCGTGACCCGTGAGGAGGTGCACTACCCTCTGCATTTTCTAACTCCTGCAGATAGAAACCCGGGCCACACGTGTGGGGATGGGTATTAAGGCTGTGGGATAAATCGTGGAAGGAACGTAAAGTTGGATCGGGCGGCATTTATTGCCACAGGCTCACTAAGCAGGGATTCTGCATCTAACTTTGCATCTTGGGGAGGAAGGAAGGGCTCTAAGAGTTTGCTTCGCTGCTTGGCTGAAATATGGCCAAAAGGAGACCCACAGTGAGTGAATTAGAATTGCCAGACCTGCTTTGGTTTAATGTAGAGAAAAGGATTCCATGACTTAGGGAGACTGGAATGTTTGAGTGAGTTTGTCGTATGAAACCTACTCACTTCCCCACCCTGGGAAGGACCAGAAGACATGCCTTTCACCACGACTGTGAGAGATAAACTTGAGAGGGAAGCCCTGGCATCCCTGGCTCTTCTCTGTGGGCCAGACTTCAGAGAGGGAACTTCAGTCACGGAATTGGGAAACGTAACCACGATGAGAGTGATTGGATCCGCGGTGGCAGGGACCAGAGGCGGCACTCAAGCCCCGAAGGCAAGGAGGGAATGGTCCCTGTGATGGACAGCAGGGTCAATGCCGCAAGCAGAATGGCCTGACTCCTGCAGACCGATGGCTGGCTAGCTCGTCATGGGGTTCCTAGAAGTGAAATAGACAGGAAGCCTACTAATTCTTACTTGTTCTGTGTAAGCAGAAAAGTTCTAGGTCAAGTGAACAAGAGTCTAACTTGAATCATAAAAACAGAGTGTCATAACCCCCAACCAGTTCTCAGACTTGAGCCACTTTACAGACTCAGAACCCCTTGAATGAAGAGGCCAGGTCCCCTTGAGGAAGGACCCTTGTACACTACCAACAATATTTACTACTAATCATTTTTCCAGCCTTCCCCAAAGGCCCCTATGGTCTTTTGCCAGGATAACTGTGCATTGGGCAAGAGGAAATAATCAGAACTTTCAGGCACCACTGGACACAAGCTCTGAACTGACACTGATTCCAGGAGACCCAGCCATCACTGTGACGCACCAGTCAGAGTAGGGACTTATGGCGGTCAGGTGATCAACGGAGTTTTAGCTGAGGTCCATCTCATGGCGTCCTGTGTGAATGCTCACCAAAGGTGACATCAGCAGAAGAGGATTTTAATAATCAAGTGACGAGGAGGACTTGTTCTATGGATTCCAGTCAGGTTTCTTCTCCAGGCACCCCTGTCATCAACCAATGGGCTCACGAACAAGATGGCCATGGTAGCAAGGATGGAGCTTATGCATGGCTTCAGCAACACGGATGGACTTCCAGGCACCAAGGCTGACCTGGCTACAGCCACTGCTGAGCGCCCAATCTGCCAACAGCAGGGACCAGCAATGAATCCCCAATACGGCACCATTCCCCAGGGTGATCAGACAGCTACCTGGTGGCAGGTTGATTACACTGGACCACTTCCATCATGCAGTGTTTTGCTCGTACTGGTTTAGACACTTATTCTGGATATAGAAGTGCCTTCCCTGCATGCAATGCTTCACCAAAAACACCAGCCATGTACTTGCAGAATGCATCATACATGGTATTCCACACAGCATTGCTTCTGATCAAGAAACTCTTTTCACAGCAAATGGAGTGCAGCAGTGGGCCCGTGATCATAAGATTCACTGGCGTTACCATGTCCCCCACCGTCTTGAAGCAGCTGGCTGAATAGAAGGGTGAAATGGCCTTTTGAAGACTCAGTTCCAGTGCCAGTTCTGTGGTAATACGTTGCAGGGCTGTATATGCTCTGAATCAGCAACAAAAACATGCTGCTGTTTCTCTTACAGCCAGGACTCAGGTCCAAGGATCAAGAAGGGGAACTGGGAAGCCACCGCTCACTATTAACCCTAGTGCCCCACTAGCAAATTTTTTGCTTCTTGTTCCCAGAAACTTATGCTCTGCTGGCTTAGTGATCTTAGTTCCAAAGGGGAATATTTCTGCCAGGAGATACGGTTCCATTGAACTGGAAGTTAAGACTGTTGCCTGCTCACTTTGGGCTCCTCATGCCTCTGAAATAACAGACAAAGTTACTGCGCTGCCTGGGATGAGTGACCCTGACTGCCGAGGAGAAATCAGACTACTCCTCCACAATGGAGGCAAGAGCGAGCATGTCTGGAATCTAGGAGGTCACTTAGGGCGTCTCTCAGTATTACCATGTCCTGGGAGTAAGGTCAATGGAGAATTACAACAACCCAATCCAGGCAGGACTACTAATGGCCCTTCAGGAATGAAGGTTTGGGTCACCCTACCAGGTAAAGAAGCACAACCAGCTGAGGTGCTTGCTGAAGGCAAAGGGAATACGGAATGGGTAGCGGAAGAAGGTAGTTATAAACACCAGCTGTGACTCTCTGACCAATTTCATGAGCGAGGACTGTAATTGTCAAGAGTATTTCCTCATTGTGTTATGATTATATGTTGACATATATGTGTATATATCTTTGTTTTATTCCCTCTCTTATCCCCTTACTATGTAACAAAAAATGCAAAATGTATTGACTTTATATCACAGTATTTAAATATTGTTAACTTTATATCATAGTATTTAAGTTATGGGATATTAAGAAGGGTAAACATCACTCAAGGACTTTACCTCCTCTTCTGGGGAAGGGGTTAGTGCATTTTGGGTTACTCTCAGGATTGTTATATCATGTATATTAGGCAGAATTAGGACCTTGTTACTTTCTTTATTTGGAGATTAAGTATGATTTAAGGAGATGTGCATGGGTGTCAGGTGGATGAGGGACGCACTTGTGACAGTTCATTTTTATGTGTCAACTTGACTGGGCCATGGGGTGCCCAGATGTTTGGCCAAACACTATTCTGGGTGTGTCTCCATTGTGTTTATGGATGAAATCAACATTTAAATCAGTACTGAGTAGGAACTCTGCTCAACATTATGTAACAACCTAAATGGGGAGAGAATTTGAAAAAGAATAGATACATGTATATGTATAACTGAATCACTTTTGTTGTACACCTGAAGCTAACACAAAATTGTTAATCAACTCTACTCCAACATGAAATAAAAAGTTAAAAAAAAAAAATCAGTACTGAGTAAAGCAGATTGCCCTCCTCAATGTGGGTGGGCCTCACTTAATCAGTTGAAGCCTGAATAGAACCAAAGGCTGACCCTCCCCTGAGTAACAGAGCATCCTCCAGCCTGACAGCCTTCAACTGGCACACTGCCTCTTCCTGGTTCTACAGCAGCTTCCAGCCTTTTGAGTTGAACTAGGACATCAGCTGTGCAGATTTTGGACTTGCCAGCCTCCAAAATCACATGAGCCGATTCCTTATACTCTCTCTCTCTCTCCTATATCTCTGAAGAACTCTGCCTAAGACAGGAGTGAGATGGGAGGAGAAGAGGGCATCAGAGTGACAGGCATCTGAAGGGCATCTGAAGGGCAGGTGGTTGAGGGCACCCAGTAAGGGGGTGGGAAGGGAGAAAACAAAAGGAGACAGAGCTTCCGAAAGATGAGATCTACCTATATCTCTCGGTGGGCCCAATTAAACAGATCCACACATAAAAATCCAAATTTGTATGTCGGGCAAAGTGAGGAGCCATACACTTTTCCAAAAGAGGTTGGCAAGGGCGTAAAAGCTGCCAGTCACCCCAGGAATTTGCTGCAGGATTGTATCAGCCCACTGAGATTTTTGCCCCAAACCAGGTCCTTCTGTGTTTCCCAAGGTCACCGAGGCCCTCTGGGAGCTCCCCGGCAGCCCGGCCCAGATCTGGCTCTCACCTCGTAGGATGGTGGCGTTGCGCAGGATCTCCCCGTGCTGTGTGTCCACGGCCTTCATCTCCTCCATGACCATGGACAGGTTGCGGACGTTGAAGTCCAGGCGGGCGCTGAGCAGGCCGAAGCGCTCCCGGAGCAGGTCGGTGGTGGCCAGCATAAGGGAGACGGTCTTGTTCAGGTAGTAGAGCTCCTCGGCCTGGGTGTGAAAGCCCAGCGTGCAGGAGAGCCGCACGTCATCCAGGTACTTGAGCATGCTGTACACGTGGCTGTCAGTGGCGTTGATGTTGGTGAAGATGGTGCCGATCTCGATCTCATGGGAAGCCATGCGTCCTTCCAGCGTCTCGAACCTCTCCACCGTGCGGTTCTGGGCGTAGTGGGTGTGGTACTGCAGGTCGTGCATGTTCTCCTCGTGGTCATCCAGGAAGGACGAGATGTTATCCAGCTGCAGCTGCAAGCCCATGACCTGCAGCACCAGGTCGTGCATACTCTCAGAATTCTGGCTGATGCGCTGGGAGGAGGCCCCCAGGGTGGCCTGGAGGCTCTTGACCACTTCTCCCGTCTTGGCCGAGGTGGCGCGCAGGCTGCTGAAGAGCCGCGTGTAGTTCTGCCAGTCGGCGATCACCTTCTGGAGGGTTAGGGTCTCCTCGTCTGTCTTCCGCCGGATCCCGTGGATCCACTCAGAAGTCTGCCCCACGGTGAAGTTCATCTGGTGCATCGCAGCCTTGATGTTGTAGCACTCCTGGGTGAGGTCCTTCAGAGAGAGGTCCAGGCCGGCTGTGGTGGCCTGCCAGCCTCTCACCTGGGCCAGGAAGAGCCCCAGAGACTGGTTGATCTGGTGGACGGAGAAGGAGCAATTGCCCATCTCCTGGGAGATCTGACCGCTGGTGGTGGAGAGCAGTTCGTGGGTCTGGGAGGTCTGGTCCAGCTGGACCTCCTGAGCCAGAAGCATCTTCTGAATTCCCTCCAGCTCCGCCTGCAGCTTTCTGATCTCTTGCCCCAGCTGCCCAGCCTCATGGCAGAAAGAGCAGTTGTTCGGGGCTTTCAGCTCTTCAGGAGAAAAAAGGGACAACATTTTGAGTTGCTGAAGGATCACGGGACAAAGGTTGCTTCTTTAATATTTCAGAGCATAATGAACTGGCAAGTGGCTTTCCTATTCCTCTTCCTTTCCTAAGACCTGCTATGAAATCCTTTTTGGAAAAGTCTTGCCGCCTCTATGCAATCTTATTTCTACCAAATGTCTTTACTCTGACCTGAAATGTAGGCTTTAGGATATTTTCTCCATCTCACCACCAAATCCTTGAGAGTATGTATCTTCATAACTTTTCTGAGGTTGCCAAGAACCTCCCATTTACATTTTATTTTTACAATTTCTCCCCACGTTTTAATATTTGTGCTTATTTGAGCCTGTCACAAGCTCGTGGAGAAAAGGGTACAGGGATAGTTTCCCCCCGCGACCGATGAGAAATGAGGCTCAGAAAAGTGACTTGCCAAATGTCACTCAGCTAATTAGTGGCAGAATAGGACTTTCTCTTCCCACCAAGCAGACCCCCTCTAAACCCTTCTATTGTGTCTCCTTCTGTCTCATTCTCAGAACGAGAACGTCCCTTGTGAAAGCAAGAGATGAAGAGACAGTAAATTGTGCAAACTTTAAGGCAGTGATGAGGAAAGGGCCGACCTGTCAAGAGCACAGGGAAGATCTTAAAAATAATTTCAGATTACGTGAAGATATTTGGCGAGTGGACTTGCTTGTCTCTGGCTTGCTTCTCTACCTGGAGGCTCTGCTAGATCCATGCCACTCACAGAACCCCGAGCCCCATTCCTGGGTGCATCCCAGGGTAGCAGCCCTCGTTGGCTGGATGTTCTCCAGCTGGACAGGGAGGCCGGGAGCCATGGCTGTCTTTCCCTCACGCCTTGAAGCTTGGTGAGGGCTGCCCTGCTCCAGGGCACCATGGCATGGGAAGAACGCTGCCCCCCTCCGGCCCCTGTCAAGTAATATCGGCCTTCTGTCATGGTCATTAGCACATCTGGACACTGGACACTCACCCAGCCCTTGGAGATTTTCCTGCATAGACACAAGCTTCTTGTCATAAAGGGCCTGGGCCAGGGAGATGTCTTCTGAGAGAGAGTCCACTTTCCTGAAAACTGCAGGGGAAACAGAGATGAGAAAAGGGTCTTAGCTCAGAGAAACAGCAGTCGTTTGTTGAGAAGACAAACCATTTATCAGCCCCTCTGCGGCCAAAACCATTCACTCTTCTGTGGGGCTTCCCAATGGCCAGAGTCTGTCACATCCCTTAAAAATATATATCTGTGTATCTATATATCTATAGATGTGGATAGATATAATCTTTTTATATATCTCCCTTAAGTGTATATATGTGTTTATACATATGTGGGTATATATGTATATATTAGAATATGTAACAGTACATAAATTATACATATACATATCTAATTTCCACCCCCCTCAGATTTTAGACCTAGGATCTGACCACAGGGTAGAATGGGGACAAATAAGAAAGGAATAAAAAATTAAAATTATTCTTAATCCTATCCATCTCCGTGCCTCACCTGAGTCCCAGCTTTGTCTCTAATATCTAGTACATTGGAGCGAACAAACCTACAGGCTTCCCTTAGTAAAAAAGCTTTTTTTTAAATCTGAAGCTAAGAATAGAACGAGATTGCAGTAAGAAACTTTCAAATTTGTTTTCACTTTTTGAACATAAATTGTGTTAGTATCCAGAAGAGGCAGAAGCTACCTGAAGCTGGCAGCACGTCATCACCTGGGTCAGCCACCGCAGTCATACAAACTGCTGAGTGTGTGAGAACCACCAAACCTCAGATCCCTGGGCCTCGCTCGCAGGACTCTGACTTAGTAGGTCTGAGGGAGACCCAGGAATTTGCATTTTAACAAATCCTGGGGCCAACCCTGACGCAGGTACACATCCAACCTCACTTTGAGAAACACAGAGGCCATGGAAAGGGCTTAGACATTGTCCGATCTGGTGATTTCAACCCTGGGTGTACACCAGAATCATCTGAAGAGCTTAACTACTGAATTAATTCCATTATCCAAGGGGGGGCCCAGGCATCCATATTTTTTTACAGCTCCCAGATGATTCTAACATGGGGCTGAAACTGAGAACTACTATCTAGTCCTAGCCTCTCATTCACCAGTAGGAAAACGGAGGTCCTGAGAGGGGAGGTGCCTTGTTCAAGGCCACACAGCTAATTATTGACCAGAGGTTACGAGCTAGTCTTTGCAGTTTGAATCAGGCACTAAGAGCCCCTAGTTAGGAAGATGCTGGCTCTGGTCCGTGAGCCACAGAGATCTGTGTTTGTCTTCGTAGGGGGTTTGGCACTGAAAGGACCCCTGATGAGAAACTCCCCCGCAGCCCAGGGTGGAGAGCCCCTGACGAGCGGGTTGCTGGTGGCAGCCTGCACTCACCCAGAGAGGCCAGCACGGCCACAGACACCAGGAGGAAGGCCAGAAAGAGGTAAAGGATCCGCACCGATGTGTGCAAAGACAGGTTCTTCTGGCAGCGGCTGCAGCGGGGCCCCGGCCGGCCTGTGGAGAGCGGGGACAAAAAGAGGCCGGTGGCAGAGGCCGCGGCGAAAGGGTCAGTTCTCCTGCTCTGGCCTGTCTCATCCCATTTTGAACCAGCCTCAGAAAGGGAGCCGTCCTGGATCCTCGCCTCTACCCACTTCACTGCCTTTTCTGGAGGTCCTAGAGCTTTTACGAATAGGCAAGACCACAGTGAGGATCTTGAGAGTACGCGCCCATCACACCATCATTCTGTCTCCATGGCATCGTCATTCAGCCCATGGTGCAGGAAAACACCTCTTCCCAAAACAACAGCCCCCTCACAGGGCAGCCAGCTTTGTCTCACCATTGGGTGGCCAACTCCTCCCAGTTTGCCTAGGACTTTCCTGGACTTTAGCACTGAGAGTCTTCTGTTCTGGGAACTCCTTGGTATTGGGCAAACCAGGATGGTTTGCCAAGACGGTCTCAGTTTTAAAGCTGTAAGTCACACATCTTGGGAAACCCCTCAGTCCCAGGCCAACCAGAAGGTTGGTCGCCAGTCCCCAAACTTTGCAGGTAACCAGAAGTTCTCCTGGAGGCCAAACGGATGATTCCAGTGTATCAGTTGGTCCTTGTTATAGACGAAGGTTGGAAGAAGGTGTTCCTGGCGGCTCTGGGAGGTGGTCAGTGGCCAGCGGGAAAGCTGTGATGCTCCCAGCTGTGAAATTTCTAAGATGGATTCAACTTCAGCTGCACATTATGAGTACCAGGAATGTTTAGATACCCTGATGCCCGTCCACGCTCCAGACCGAAAGAGATCAGAATTTCTAAGGGTCGGTCTCAGGCGTCCCTGGGTGGTTACAATGCACAGCCAAGATTGAGAACAGCTGCTCTAACCTCTACTGAAATCCACGGAGAAGCCCTACTGCAAGTAACAGTTCAGAGGGCGTTGGTTTCTCAGATCAGCCACATGCCAAGCTGGTCCTGTGGGCCTGAGAAGGACGGGCCACTTGATGGGCATGGGCTACAACGAAGGGGACAGTTCTGGGCCAGCTGGAAGAGAGGCCCTGGGGGAGATGGTCCCGGACAGGTCTGAGGAGGACTCGGACTTCACCTGTACCGCATAACCCAGGCCCATGCAATGCTTCCAGGGAGCCGCGGGGAAGGGACAGTCAGGACTTTGAAGCCATGCGGACAGAGAAGTCTGTCCCCAGCCTGGGATCAGCCCGGAGCCCTTACCCTCCTGCGTGCACGGGAAGGACGGCATGTCCTCGTCGTCGTCAGCTGCCGGCTCGTCTTCTGTAACACACAGCGCATCTCCGTCGCCAGCGGCCGACCTCACTGTGATGGAGCCAGAGCTGTCAGACCCAGGCTGGGGAGCCACGCCCACCCCTCTCCAGCTGCCCCATTCTTTTACTGTCCCCACACCCTGCGCCCACCCCCGCCCCTGGGTCCAAGTCAGCCCACCTGAGCTCCAGGTGACCTGACAGCAAGCAGAGCAAAGAAGGATGGAGGTCAGAATCAAGTGGTTGAGGAACTGGGATGTCCCAGCACCTCTGGGGGAGGAGCATTCATGATCTCGGGCAAACTGGTAAAGGCGCGCAGGCCAGCCCAGGTGCTTTCTCTATCTGTGCCTTGTTCAGACCCCTGGGGTGGAGTATGAAAAGGTTGCTTGATCTGGCTCAGCACCCTTCCATTCCCTGACACGTTGTAACCGAAGCAGGATTCTGCTTCTGCAGGGACAAGGGCGAATCTGGCCCCAGCGCAGTCCCCACCGAGACTCTGCATCCAGCCCAGCTGGGGGGCTTCGGAGAGGAGGAGCTGGCAGTGTGAGGACACGGGATGGGCACAGCCTCTGCCTCACACATTGCCTTGTGCAGGACGTGCCAGGGGGTGGAAGGGACCGCGGCTGGAACAGATCTCATGCCGGAAGGCTGATGCCATGCTCGTTCCCTGGGATCACGTGCTCTCTAAATAAGACCTAAGTGATGTATTCCCTCATTCAGAAGATTGCTCCCATTCCCCCAGACACTGCATAGCCCTTCCTCCTTACAAGATCTGGTCTTTTTATGAATGACCAGAAGAAAGATGTCCAATATTGGCAGAATGAGCCGGACCTCCAAGTGGGTGTTTGAGAAATGAGGTGGTCTGCATCGAGCTGACCAGGGCTTCTGTGCTGGGAAGTCGGGGTGCAAGCTTATGATGACAACTAAATTGCTTGGCAGATAGTTGGCGGGGGGATTTTTTAAGCTACGCCTGAACATCCAGAGGCAATAAAAGAAAAGATCAATACATTTGACTACATGCTAGTAAAACAACACTTTTGCATGGCCATAAAAGCAAATGACAAACAGGGAGAAAATATCCACAGCATACATCACAGATGAAGAGCTAATATACCAAATTTATAAAGAGTTTTTAAAAATTGAGGAAATAAAGGACCGAAAATCCTACAGAAAAATGAACAAAAGACCCAAACAGGCAATTACGAAAAGAGATATAAAAATGGCCCCTGAATAATTTAAAAGATGTTCAACTTTACTCATAAGACAAATGCAACTTAAAACTACACTGTGATAATATTTCTCACCCATCCCATTGACAAAGATGCAGAGGACAATACACGTTGTTGGCCTAGGTGGTGGGGGGAGTTGGGGTCTGAATGCAAAATGGCCCAAAGCTTGTGGAGCGGGGGTTTAGCAGATGCATTTACCCTTCAACACAGCAATCACACTTTTATGAATTTGTCCAGAATATAGACCTCCAACAATCTGAAAATATATGTGACAAGGTTATTCATTACAGGATTACTTGTAATTACAAAATTTGGGAACTATCTAAACGTACAACTACAGGAGATTGGTTAACACACGATGGCATGTATACACGCAATGGGGCTCGGTGCAAGTATACAAATGAGTAAGGAAATCTCTATTAACCGATGTGGAGTCGTTTCCAGGAGATATTAAATGAAAACAGCAGAGGAGCACATATGGTATGCCACTTTTTTGTAAGAAAGAAGGGAAATTAGGAAACACACATATATCTGCTTATCGTTAAAAGAAGATAAACAGGAAAAGTAAACTGAAAAACAATGAAGTTGCTTTCTACAAGGGATGGGGTGGGGGAAAGGGATATACGAAGGAGTCACAGTTCTCTGAATATAATTTTTTGGTATAGTTTTACTTCTGAAAACATGTTAATATCTTACATATTCAAAAAATTCAATTTTATTAATAAAAAATACTTGGAACCAAATAAGCCTTGCTTGCTTGAATGAATACAATAAACATACTAAGTGGGGAGAAAAAGGAAAGAGGAACTAATCCAAGTAAATTATGACACAGTTTGGACTCTGTAATCTCAGTCTAGGATGTGATAACGTAGGATTGGGAAAGAAGTGCCAACAAATCTTGAACTTTTAAAGCAATTTTATTTCTTGGTGTAGCATGGGTAAAGCAATTCTGAAGTTATTTTACATTAATTCAAGATTCAGCAAATAGAGTAAATGCATTGATGTGGTTTGGACCCAGCGTTCTCACCGTGAAAAAAGGGATACAGAAATATACAATGGGAGAGACCCCTTGGAGCCGGACTGAAATTTGAAGGTATCAGTGGGAATTAGTAATTTCTAAAATATGTTTATGTGTGTACATATTTGTTTAGGTTCATATATATGTATAGATGCATCTATATTTGTAGCTATGTGTATGCATATAACTTTGTTGCAAGGTCCAGGAAGCAAAGACACCAAAATAGCACTGAACACCCCTAGCAATCCAGTTGGTCTCTGATACCATTTCCCACTAAAAAGAACCCAGGCTTCTTAAAGAGGTGGCTGATTTTAGGGTTGGGGCAGAGGGTAGGTAAAAGATGAATCTAGAACATCTTGCTATTTCAGAAATTAAGGGAATGCTCCAAAAAAAAAAAAAAAAGAAATGATAGGGGCATATCAAAAAGAAATAGAAACCAGCCTGAAGATGCCCCCACTGGCCAAATCTGGAACAATTAGAGCACTAAAATAATTAAGTATAATAATGAAATTACAAGTCATTGAAGAAACAGGAATCCATACCAATGATAGACAGACAGGTAGGGAGAAGGGAGGGCTCTTCTTACTGCTGGAGTTGGGAGATCAGGACTCTGCAATCATCAGGGTAAAGAGACCAGATCATGCTAGAACCATCAGCGGATGCCACCTCTTGGGAAAATTTTGATGAAGAACAGTATATATGTATGCTTACGTGTAAACCTTTATCCATGGCCTTAAACTGTCTGCTTACAGACTACTTATTAGTTGCAAGGGAGGAAGAAACCCAGTAATTACATAGTGGGGAAATCAGGCAACGCTGACCAGCACACACCATCATTTACGTAATTTGCTGGCCAAGAGTGCATAACCACAATCGAATCATGAAGAAACATGAGAAAAACACAATGTAAGCATTGTATTTTTTAAAGTTGGGGGGGCTGTATTTTTCAAAAATATTAGAGTCGAAAAAGACAGTGAAAGGTGAAGAGACATGACAACCAAATGCAATCCTTAATGTTAAGCTAGAGGCTGCTAGAGCCTGGAGAGAAAAGAAAATCCATAGAGGTTATTAGCTGATCAACGAACATCGGAATACATATGGTACATTAGATAAAGAACTGAAGCACGTTCATGAAGTTCATAACTGTACCCTGATCATATTCCTGTTCTTAGGAAATCCACACTGAAATATTCAGAAGTAAAGAACCATGATGTATGTAACTTACCCTCAAGAGCTTCAGGAAAAAATTATGTGTTTGTGTGCATATGCAATAAGTGTGTGTGTGGATAATACTGCAGTGAAAATCCTTAGACGTAAAATGTTATGCACATATAGGACTTTCTTTAGACAGTTTTTTAAAAGCGAATTGACTGGATCAGATTGTAAGAACATTTTAATGTTCTAGAAACAAATGAACAAACTGGCATCTAGAAAGGGCATACAAATTACACTTCCACCCACACAGCATATGAATACATACTGATATACTAGTCCTTCCCCAGTGAGTCTTATAAAAAATAAATGTCTTTATGAGTTTAACTCAAAGAATCTCCGTATTTTATTTTGCACATTTAAGAATTATTAGTGAAATGGAACATTTTCAAGTGCTTACTAACCATGCCTTTCCATGAATTAACTATATGTAGCCTTTGCCCATTTTTCTGTTGAACTGTTGATTTTTCTTTTCACAGAAGGTTTTGATGAGAACATAACCTATCATCATGTGTCTTGCAGATGTTTCAATATATTTATTTCTGAAAATTGTTAAAGCTTGTGTGTGCATAGCTTTGGGGCCACCATAATGCACTCCAGGGGGAGGGAGAGGGTGGGGAGGTGTGGAAGGGCATTCATACTGTAGCCCCTGATTAAACAGTGGATCCTGAGGGGTCTGTGTTCAAGACTCTTTCTTCCAGAGGGCATTTCCTAGACTTTTGCCAGGTGCCAGGGGAGCTACCGATCTGGGACCACTGCGGTTTGATTCCTTAGATTGGATCACCCAAGTGTGCACATAGAATGTATACTAGATCCCCAGACCAGTTGAGGGCAAGCCTGTGTTAACCCAGCACCGCCCCCTTCCCCTCACCCAGATTGTCTGGAGATATCCCATTTCCTTGTCAGCTCTAGCAGGTAGATTTTGCATCTAGCCTCTTTCCCTTCCCCT